TCCATAAAATGCGTTGCACAAATTCGAACATCTGGGTTGTGCTGTTCTGTTGTAAATAAATCTTAACCAATGATTCCTAATTGCATCTACTTCTGGAAGGCCAAATAAAGTGCTTTTGCTTTCGCCTAGAAACACAGCGTCTCCCTGACATGCTGCATCAACACGACTGCTGTTCCTGAAACCACGCCTTCTTTCTTTACGTGCACATTATGCTAATATTTCCACATAGTGAGGTAGACATGTGGGGGCGTGTTAGAACGAGCCGTTTTAGGTAGGCGTGGCAGAGTCTTAACTTTTATAAAGAATATCTCTTTGGATTTGAGACTTTAGTCTTTGCAACTTTACAGATCTTCTTTATGCACCAAGAGCTTGTAACACTCCAAAGAGAAAGGAACAATTGAAATCGCATCATATGACCCCTTTAACAGGAATTTGTTATAGTGTCACAAGCTTCTATGTCTCAGTTTACTGGAAGCTTGTGACACTATAACAAATTCCTTGTATGTGCAAACATACTTGGCAATAAAGCTCTTTCTGATTCTGATTCTAACAGATGTTTAGCATCCTGTTTACATGCAACTTTCATTATTCTACCGCTAGTATTCACATATCCCACCCAATGCAAGGGATGATTTCGACCATCAATATACTGCATTAAATTCAAAAATGTGATGCCTAATTTGTATTGTGTACCTTACAAGCACATGCACACTTTGGTCACAGTGGAATAGAAGCGATTAAAGTGTTAACTTGCCTGTTAAAAGCAGCATACACCACTTGTTTTACTGCAGTTATGATTGCTATATGAGCTTAATCGCTTCAATTTGATCAAAGTATTGCGTTAACATGAGGTAAATGTTATAATATTGTCTATATCTCATTATGATCACATTATGAAGGTGCATGTAAACGTAGTCAGAGTTATTCAGGGTCTCTTGCAAAACGTTTTGCACTATCTATCTCTGAGCTTTAGTCAAAAACATACTGGAGTTTCCTTCCCTCTGTGCCAACATGCCAACAGTTCAACTAACTTTAATTAGTTATGTTGGTTTGACAAAGCCAAGTTAAATCATGCTAGCAATGTGCTAAGACATGTAAGCAACTTGCTAAAATATACTGTGCAAAATCATGCTAGCAGTGCTAAAACATGTACAATGTGCTAACAGCATGTTAAAACATGCTAGCAATGTGCAAAAACATACTTGCGATGTGTTAAAACTTGCTACCAAACTGTTACAACTTGGTAGCAACATGCTATTTCATGTTAGCAATGAGCTAAAACGTGTTAGCAACATGCTTTAATTCTACTAATGTGCAAAATCATGCTAGCAGTGTGCTAAAACATGTACAATGTGCTAACAGCATGTTAAAACATGCTAGCAATGTGCTAAAACATACTTGCAATGTGCTAAAACTTGTTAGCAACATATTCAATTGTGCTAAAACATGTTAGCAGCGTGTTAAATCATGTTAGCAACTTGCTTAAACAGTTTTGCAATGTGCTAGAACATGTTAATAGCATTTTATTGACTTAAAGTAAAATCTTCAAACAAAAGTTATTTCAAACTTCCAAACAGCTTTGTCAAGCCAACGTCAAAGTTTGTTTACAAATTTTAATTGAACTGTTTCTCTGCCATGACAGCAGTCGATCCAAAAGAGAAAATTCTGAAACCAGGAAACTTCTTTTTTTAAACTTGTGATGTCCCCTTTAAGTCTGCTCTTCAGGTCATTTATTTTCCCTTTTAATTATCAGCTGTGGCTTCTGAACACAGACGCTCTGGTCGCCTCATTTCCCGACGCAGCAGCGAGGGGCGACAGCTTCATATCCGCAGATGAGGTTCATCAGTCATGCTGGGCCGCTCAAGCAGTCAAAGTGCTGTACATCCTCTGCTCTGACAGCAAACTCCAAGAGTAAGTCATAGTTCACCCTGACATCTGCGCTTATTACTCATATTAATGTCCATATCTAATCAGACTCCACCTCAGGATGTAAATGAAATCACATGAGTTTTGTAGTCTAATGTAGACCTGTGTTAATATCTTTGTAGACCACTTTTAAACCTTGGCAGAACAATATTAGGACAACATAAAGCATAAACATCTCTAAAGTTTGTTAGCCTTAAAACAAGAAATATATATATATTTTCAATGCCTTGTTTTTAGAGAATAAAAGTAACTCCTATCCACTCTAAAATAAAAATCATTATTAGGTTTATCAAAGTGTATCTGGGTAATATGGAAGCCTGTTCACAACGGAATAAAAAAAATGAAGGTAATTGCATACTTATTTCACAATTCAGTTTTTTTTCCTGAGATTTATATCTTGCTATTTGTTGTTTTTTTGCAGTTGTGAGAAAAAAGTCTAAATTGTGAGTTAAAAAGCTGCAAGTGCCCTTTTTATTTATGTTTTATCTCGTGGTGGAAACAAGCTGCCGTAGTGAAAAGATACGGTTTGAAAGATGGATTTGTTTGATACCTTTTTTAATGTTACGAAGCGTAGCTTTAACTGAAACTAAAAACATAAAAGACACTTTCATTACTTGAAATAAAATAAGCAGTGTAATGTTGCGCGAGGAAATGCAGGCAGATAACGTGGATCTATGTGCAGGAGTAATAAAATAACATCAATTTGTTTTCAAGCAATTACAAACAAGTTTGTTTTAGCCACATTCAGCCTTAAACAAAATAAATGTTTTAATGTAAATGTAAAAATTACTATTTCAGTCATAACAGTTTTAAGAATATGTGCAGTTACTGCACTTTGCCTTTGCAGAAATGTTTAAAATGTCAGAAAGAAGTATTAATGAAATAAAATAAGCAGTGTAATGTTGCGCGAGGAAATGCAGGCAGATAACGTGGATCTATGTGCAGGAGTAATAAAATAACATCAATTTGTTTTCAAGCAATTACAAACAAGTTTGTTTTAGCCACATTCAGCCTTAAACAAAATAAATGTTTTAATGTAAAAATGACTATTTCAGTCATAACAGTTTTAAGAATATGTGCAGTTACTGCGCTTTGCCTTTGCAGAAATGTTTAAAATGTCAGAAAGAAGTATTAATAATAAATTGAAGGAACTACAGCTGTAAAAATGGTTAAAGTATGGCAACTAGTAGCCTTGGAAAGCACTGTAAATGCACAAGCTGAGAGAAATGCTGGCATAGTTCCTCTCAGACCTCCTCGAGATGTGTAATGTTCCCGTGGTAAGAGCTTGAGGAGCCGTGGATGCTGGGATCACAGAGGGACTGTGGGTGTGCGCTCTGCGCTTCATTGTGTCTCTGACACCAGAAGGTCGTTACGACTCTCTGCTCCTCTTACCTCGTCTCGCTCACCTTTATTTCAAGTGTACATTAATACCCTGCGCTGGAACGTCTCTCCACCTCCCTGTAAGTAGAGGTGCGGATCAAACATGATTCATGGCGCTCAGATACAGGCCCCGAGCCGTGATGCTAAATAGAGGATAGTCTTACAGGAACCAGACTTTTGACTACCCACATATAATGTCTGCTTAGCATCGCAGTTTAGTCTGGCCAAAAACTGCTCTTTTAGACAGCAAGTGACTGACTGATATAAAAAAGTAATAGAATAGAGCATTTTTATGCCATATTAATGGTATACAATCCAGGAATAAATAACACCAACCTGCATCATATTTGCTGAACGAATTCCAAAATCCAAAAATAGTTTGCATGAAAATAGCAAAATATGATGCATTTCGTAGCATTTTTCTTTGTACAACCATTTGTAAGGTGAAGTCTTGTATTCTCTGTTAATCAGCAGAAAAAAGTGCCTCAAAGACATGGTTCCTGTCTTCCTCTGAGCCAGAATACAACTGTTTGTTCAATTCTCAGCCCATTTACACATGTCAGGATTAGGCATACAATAATATCATATTCTATGCCTAATCCTGACTTCAAAGTTAAAATTATGGCCAGTGACAGAAGAAAGTGCACAAATGAGCCAGATGTTTTCTGCTACATCTGTTGGTTTTTACTGCATCCAACATGACAGAAAATTACACATTCTGTGGACCGAAAGCTTATTTTGAAAAGTTGAATAATATATTTTGATTACTTCTTTTTGTAATTTGTTGGTTTTCGTTATTTTGAGAACTACGTTAAAGCTGATAAATGTAATCTGCTCATTCTTATTTTGTGAAAAACTCTACATGATGGAAAGTTGTTATTGATATTTTTGTATTCAGCATAATCAAACTAGATAATATTAGGCCTTTTTTGCACACCAGCAGAATTTCTGTTTTTCAAGATGCAAGACATCCAGTAAATTAAATAGGTAACACTTTAGTAGCATGCATATTACGAGCATATTGGCTGTTTATTAGTACTTATAAAGCGCACATTAATGCCTTATTCTGCATGACCATATTTTAGATCTCTTAATCCTGCCCCATACTTAAATTGAACAACTATCTTACAAATTAATAAGCAGCAAATTAAGAGTTTATTAAGGCAAAAGTCATAGTTAAGTTAATAGTGAGCATTGGTCCCCAAACTAAAGTGGGACCTACGGTACATGAGCACACTGAGTTGAATTGCGTATATAATGTAATAATGTATGCATTTAGCAGACGCTTTCATCCGAAGCGACTTACAGTGCATTCAGGCTATACATTTTTTTTTTACCAGTATGTGTATTTATAAAGCAAGTTGCAACATTGGACGGCAACCACAAACGACCTACAGTCACATAACTTCTGTTCAGGACGTCAGCAGTACATCACAACACAGCAAACACTAAATTACCCCCATTATAATCAGCAGAGCTCTTTACACTCATCCGTGACACAGCTTGGAGGTTAAGTTCAAGTTTGCTGATTGCTGTCAGTTTTTTTTAAGCTAACTGGTGTCGGATTATGAACTATATAATATCAGATGCAAGTATAAGAAGTAAAGCAGAATCACTACTGGCTGACAAACATTGCACAGTTTCCAATGGTATGTATTTAAATATTTAATTTACTTTAACTGTGAAAGATTTAATGCTATGGACCTTGCGAACTTTGGCAAATTTAGTGACTAGTTGCTCATTTGCTCATTGCATTAGCCTGGGAAATTTTGAAGTTGGTATGAAATGAAAAATCACTATATTGTCTATGTAAATGCGTGCTATGTATTTTATAGTAAACAGTTAATCTGTGCATGTTAATTTTTATTCCTGTGAAACGGCAGGCTTCTCTCTAGTGACGGCTATGGGTCTTATCCAATAATTTAATTTATTTAAATTTTTTATTTTCCGTCACTTCCGGCCGTATAGCTGAGCCTGGACCTCTATAAATGATGATCCAAGCTATCTATTTGTCCTTTGGTGGGAACACTACTCTGTTCAGATATTTTGGGGGAAACCTTAGCATTGTTTGGCTTCAGATATTTAAAATGAATTGTTTACCCCAAAATGAACATTTTCTGTAAATGTGCTCAAACCATCCAAGAAGCCATCCAATTAATCTGTGCATGTTAATTTTTATTCCTGTGAAACGGCAGGCTTCTCTCTAGTGACGGCTATGGGTCTTATCCAATAATTTAATTTATTTAAATTTTTTATTTTCCGTCACTTCCGGCCGTATAGCTGAGCCTGGACCTCTATAAATGATGATCCAAGCTATCTATTTGTCCTTTGGTGGGAACACTACTCTGTTCAGATATTTTGGGGGAAACCTTAGCATTGTTTGGCTTCAGATATTTAAAATGAATTGTTTACCCCAAAATGAAAATTTTCTGTAAATGTGCTCAGACCATCCAAGAAGCCATCCAAATTCTTCATCAGGTTTGTAGAAATGTAGCATCGCATCAGTGTCTCAGCAATGAATGCTCTGCAGTGAATGGGTGCCGTCAGAATGAGAGTCCAAACAGCTGATAAAAACATCACAATAATCCACACGTAATCCACAGCACTCCAGTCCATCAGTTAATGTCTTGTGAAGCCAAAAGTTGCATGTTTGTAAGAAACAAATCCATCATCAAGATGTTTTAACTTTAAACCCTCACTTCTGGTCAAAATATGAGTCCATAATCCATAATAATGTTTCCTCCAGTGAAAAATCTCCTGTTGTCTCTCACATCAAAATCCACCCACATATTTGTTTAGAGCTGTTTTTGCTTCTAACGGTGCTTGATCTGTGCAGATTTCTCTCCTGATTCAGGTAAGACAGAAAAACTTTTTCACTGAAGGAAACATTATTATGGACAGAGAACTCGTTTTTAGCCAGAAGCAAGGGTTTGAAGTTAAAAACATTTTAATTTAAGCTAATTTCCATTTTTGGGTGAACTATTCCTTTAAGAGATGACTTAAATCATTAAGATCCTGTAAAGGAGCAACATTTTCACTCGAAGCACAGTCCTAGCTCAGACTTCCCATTGCACTTTGAAGTAGAACATTGTGTCTGATATCAAAAGTAATCAACAGAATTAATTACTGTCATGTAATTGACCAACTACCACAAAAGAGTGTGTCTGACTGAGGAAAAACCCTGGTTGTAGTAGTGTATGATGCTTCTCCAGCGTCTCTGCTTTAAGAGCTGCGTGTGCGCTTTCTGTGGAATTACAGCACAGATGGGTAAATGTCAGTGAATGTCCTGAATAGATCATCTCCATAATGTGTGTCAGGACACAAGTCTCTCCGTTTCTCCGCTCGCTCGGCTGTCTTCAGTGCAGCGTATTGACAGATTACTGTGACATGATTAAAACGGTAATGTTTCAAACTGTCAGACTGATATAATTTAAGGTCCAGCTGCTTCTGCGGGTGCAGAGTTATTGCACAGAGGAAGTAACGCTTTCTGTTTTCACCTTCAGTCAGTGTTCCTGAGAATTTTTGCTCTAGCTCACCAAAACCTAATTTTATTGGTCAGAAGCTTTAGCTGCATGAGCAGAAACACTCAGTGGAACCAGAGCTGTTCACTGCGCCAGTTCGACAAAGAAAAATTAAACTAATATAATACAGAACAGTTAATTCCTTTATTAAGTCACATTTATTTCTATGGTGCTTTATATAATACCGATTGTTGAAAAGCAGCACAGTAATAAACAGGAAAATAATGTTAAAGTTGAAAAATCTGTCAATTATGAAAAAACTCATCTGTATAGCAGTTCTACAGCAGAGTTTGTTGTTCAGCTCAACTCAGTTCAATAATAGTAATAGTGTTAAAAAGTTCAGCAATTTCAGCTATAAAGCAGCTCCACAGAAGATAACAGATAAAAGTTTAGTTATAATCAGCTCGTTATTAGGCTATAACATTCTATATTTATTTAATTGTGTATTAATGCTAAATTAATGCTTTTTTTTAAATAAATTACAAAATTGTACAAAAAGAGCACTTATATACGTGTAAATTATTTTATAAAAATAATATAAATGTGTATATATGTATATGTGTGTGTGTGTGTGTGTGTGTGTAATTAATGTTGTTTATATATTATCCATTTGTTTTTTATTTATTCCTTTTTTATATAAATAAATTATCCAGTGGGGCCTAAAAATTTGAAACCAATTTGAAAATGTGGATTTTTCTTTTCATTTAAACTTGAAAATAGACAACAGGTAAAGAAAAGACGAACTATTTAAGATGGTGCACTATTTCAGATCACTAATCAAATGTAAGTGAATTAGTGATATTGCTAATTTTGCTAGTCTTATGATAATGTAAGTGAAACCCACTCTGTTTATTTACTACAAATCAATGTACATGTAAATGGACTCCAGCTTCATGTAGCTCAGATTTGAGAAATGATTCTGGCAGGAGCAGTATGAGAAATGTGTGCCTTCATTTCCCTCTCTCTCACTCATCTTCTTTCTAGTGTTGTGGATGTCTGGGAGAAGGACATTAGTGTTCACCCTCTGCCGCTCCCTCAGAGCTCATGTGAGGAGCTCCAGAAGCTTCTGATGTCCAGCACCTCCAGACTGCCTGCATTCCTGCGCTGCATGAACTCCTATCAGGTCACATACCGCTCTGGCCGCACGCATGCCAAAACATGTGACTGCTTAGTCATTATACTTCTTTATTTCTTGCTCTTTATTTACATTATATTTATTCATTTAGCAGATGCTTTTATTCAAATCTAATACAACAATAATATGCGAAACAATACAAAATTCCAAAACTGTCTAGAAAAGTACAGACTAGGGTACAAATGTACTGTAAGTGTGACACAGTAAAGAAACAGTATAATAGAGTGCTGTAGTGATAGTATCCAAGGCCAACCCACCCTGGTTCCCTTGACAAAAACCCAATAATGTTTTCCATTGGCTTTTAGATTATTCTGGAAAATAAGCTCTGGAGCCAACAAAAGTTAATGATTGTTAAACGTTTTGTTTATCATGATAATCTTTACAAATGAACACAATGTTTTACACAACAAGGCTATAAAAGCAACTGTTCAGTGTGTTGATGTTTAATGTCCAGCAACCTCTGTAGTCCCATTAAGACATTTGATAGCAACCACCTTTATTAAGAAAATTAAAATCTTTAAAATTCCCACGGGGGTTTTACTGATTTTATGCCATCGAATCAACATTAAAATATTGTGAGCTTGTGTTAATCCCAGACATAATTTCAGGCATTTAAACATAAAAAAAAAACCATTGACTTCAGAAAGAACCAGAAGTTCAATTAAACAGAAGTTGAAAAATGCAAACTTGTTTGGCCTACAAAAATACATCATCCTTGAAGCACTCTATCCACCTTATTTTAAAGGGATAGTTCACCCCAAAATAAAAATTTGCTGTTAATTTACTCGCCCCCAGGCTATCCAAGATGTAGGTGACTTTTATTCTTCAGTAGTTCACGTTTAGCTGAAACCGTGGTCCTTGGTGATTCATAAAATGCAAGTCAGCGGCTGCCCGTCTTTGAGAATAAAAAAAAGCATATCAAGGAACACAAAATCAATTATAAATTTTTACGATTAACACAAAATTCGTCTAGTTATTTACCTATAACTGCTAATGAATCTAAAGTCTTGCACAGAAAATGGTGAATAGTCATTCACAGAAAATAGCTTGCTAGCTAGCTTCCATGGTGGAAAATGTGGATCTAGTGAGTTTAGTCATGTTGTCCTTAAATGATGTAAGAGTAAAGGAGGAATTCTGGTTAAGTTGTTAAATTGTGATCCATACAGTCACTGGTTGCCTCAGCAAAGATGTATAGCTGTGTGTCTTTGGCGTAAGAGTGGTAGACCGTTCCATGTTCCTGAATGGCCCATCAATGTAGTGTACGTTGAGAAAGAAAAGGGGACCAAATACCGAGCCCTGAGGTACCTCAGTGGCTAGTTGATGTGACTTAAACACCTCTTCCTACCAAAATACCCTGAGTTATCTCACTGAGGCAGCACTCACTTCAACAAGCAAGTGCTGTTACCATAATGGTGAGGATATGGACTAGAGCAGGGGTGGCGAACGTCGGTCCTGGAGAGCCGCAGCCCTGCAGAGTTTTGCTTCAACCCTAATCAAACACACCTGAACAAGCTAATCAAGGTCTGAAGGGTTACTAGAAAGCTACAGGCAGGTGAGTTTTAATTAGGGTTGGAGCTGAACTCTGCAGGGCTGCGGCTCTCCAGGACCGGAGTTCGCCACTGCTGGACTAGAGGATAGACAGAAACACCTGGTGATTTGCAGTGTCAAAGGATCCAGCAGAATAAGGATGGATGATAACAAGGCTCTTCTTACTACCTTCTATATATTACTTTTCATATGTTTTTATCTGAAGGTTTTGTTACCCATCACACCATTCGACAGCATTTTTAATTGCCCACGTTCAGCTAAGCTGACATCAGTAGTTCAACCGCATTGCTTAAACTGAAATGCCTTTGAGTGCAAAAGAAGAACGCTTTTCTATAGCCTAATACATAAAAACCAAATAAAACATCTCTTTGAAGCAGATGTGCATTGGTATCAGGCAGATAGCCTGATTGAAACACTTGCCTCAGTTTCTGTTGTTTCTCCAGCATATTTGCTCCCAATTAAGGAAGCAAAACGACTGTCTCCTGGCAGTCTTTCCCCCCCACCTCCCTGTGAAGAGTTTCAGGGCTTGACCCGATGCTGATGTGGAGCTTTATCCTCTTCAAAAGAATCTAGATTTCCATTTACATTCTTAATGAGAGAAAAATAAGCTGATAAAGATGAAAGATTTACAAGAGGTGTGCAGAAATTTCTTAGGAAAAGGGAATTTTTAATAATGAATAATTATGTGGTACATGTGGAGTTTAGAATTTTTTACAAATATATATATATATTAGCACTTATTTGGTTCTATTTCCGTTAGAATGTTCCCTTGGAAGGTTGCTGGGTATGTATGTATGTACAGTATGTATGAATGATTAAATACATAAACAATCACATTGTAACAAGGAACATTCTAACTGAAACGGAACCTAATAAGTGGACAATTTGGAGCACTCTACAAAGGCAGCAACTCAATCAACAATGTAAGCCTGTTCATCTCAGGTCATTAATAGGGATATTTACATGCCAAAAGCTGTGCGCTACATTAAACAAACTTCTTTTTTGGTCCTTCTTTTGTTGCCGTGGTTTATTTTGACCTTGTTTCTCATGCTAGCAACATGTGTTTGCTCTGCTGTAGCTGTTGCAGGCATTGAACTTTCTCCATCAAGTGGAAAACTATCACTCATCCTGCCAATTTTTGTAGTGCTCTGATGATAAAATGTCAGACAGGCATCGTCAAGCACGCGTGCCTCTGGGAGTGCTGCGTACAGTTCATTCAATGCCTTTGTTGTGCTAAGAGCAAGCAGACACACACAAACAACTGACCTATATAGATATAAAAGGTTATCGTTGATCAGGTTTACATGAATAGATGTTTTCCAGCGTTTCGTGGGAAGTTGATCCAGCTAATATCTGAAAGAATCAGAGCGTAGAGACTCGTTTTAGAAGTGATGCCAGAGTTGATATTCATGTTACAGTGTATGGTTTGCATCAAATTTAAACAAATTTCTCATTTCATTTCTAGCTAAACTAGCTATGTTGTTATATATACACTACTGTCCAAATTTTGGTATGAATTTTTAATGCTTTTGAAAGAAGTCGTTTCTGCTCACCATGCTGCATTTATTTAATTACAAATACTATAAAAACAGTATTACTGTGAAATAGAAATTACATTTTCAGTATCATTATTCCAGTCTTCGAGTCACACGGTCCTTCAGAAATCATTCTAATATGCTGATTTGCTGCTCAAGAAACATTTCTGATTATTATCAGTGCTGGAAACCATTGTGCTGCAAAATATAGTTTTTTAGGATTCTTTGATGAATAGAAAGTTCAAAAGAACAGCATTTAGCCTGTTGGAAGTAGAAATATTTTGTCACATTATGAATGTCTTTACTGTCGCTCTTGAGCAGTGTAGTGCATCCTTGCTGTAATAATAAATGTATTTTTTTTTTTGCCAATAAAAAATACTGATCATGCACTTTTGAACGCTAGGGTATATCAGTTACAGTGATATAGGACCCACTCAGCCGTGACTCTGAAGTATGTAATTGAAATACTGCTGGCTTGACAGTCTATTTGATGTTGTGCATGAGTTAGTGGAAGTAAGCTCACTGAAGGTCGTGAGGAACACACTGCAGGGACGAATCCTTGAGCTAGAGTTTATCATCATCCGTCACAGGACTCAAGGCCTGCATGAAGCTGATTTGTCTTACTGTCTGTTTGCCACATTTTTTTACATTATGCTTTCAAAGTTAAGTGGCCATTTGTGGCTAACTTTTTAATTTTCAGATTGTTATTGTAAATGAAAAGATCCCAGAATTAGTCATTTTTCAGCAGTTGGACATGACAATGCTGCTGTTTTTGAATTTAAACACGTCTGAGAGGTGACGTTTGTGGGTAGTAAGATTTTGAATTTATTTATTTATTTTTGAAAGAAATGTATGCTATGATTTAGCTAGGATGCATTCAATTGATGACAGTAAGACATTTATAATGTTACAAAAATTTCTATTTCAAATAAATGCTGTTCTTTTGAACTTTCTGTTCATCAAAGAATAAAATGTATCACGGTTTCCACAAAAATAGATTTCTGAAGATCATGTGACTCTGAAGACTGGAGTAACGATGCTGAAAATACAGCTGCGCATCAAAGCAATAAATTACATTTGAACATATATTCACATAGAAATAGGAATCAGTTATTTTAAATTGTAATAATATTTCACAATATTAGTTTTTTTACTGTATTTTTGGTCAAATGCAGATTTTAAAAAAATCTTACTGATTTTAAACTTTTAAATGGTAGTGTATGTGAACACTCCAAAATCTCGAAAGCATTAAAAATACTTTGTTATTGTCAACCTTTGTGTGAAACAATGCAGTGCATTGCAATGACAGACAGTAGTACACTAATTGTTGCGACCAATTTTAGAAAACACTAAACACTAGTTGAGCACATTGCACTGCAGTATTTCATGCATTAAGTTGTATATTGATATTATATACTTCATATTTTGGCATGTGGTAGGTCCTACAGATCCTCTATGGTTTTTTTGCACAGTGTACATATTGTAATTTACTGCAGACTTTGCGAGAGTAATAGGTTAGTATGGTGATCTAAACACAGTCTGTTTGTCTTCTCTCTACAGGTGGCCTACATGCAGATGTGATGCACTGAGCTCAGAAACCACTGGAGCAGTTTATCATCACAGTGCAGCGACACATGAAGTCAGATAGGAAAGCGCCGCTGCTGTCTGTGGGGCCGCTGAGAGCCGGACGGTGTTCAGTTCCACAGAGTAACACAGTTCGTCCAGATCCTCATTGCACTCTTTCTCTGACAGCACTTGTGTTTTTGACAAATAACAGCCTGGAGCCAAACTTACTGCTTCCAACAGACGCCCGCAAAATGCACGGGGAACTAGTTTGCAGTAATTGTTTTTTTTACACTATACCAGAAACTTTAGATATTATGACTATTATCTACATATGTGAATATAGCAAAGTCATCAAAACTATTAAAAAATATATATATATATTAGTTGGCATCATCCTGGTTCCCTCGACGAAAACCCAGTAGGGTTGCTCTATTGCCTTTTGGACCAACAAAAGTTTATGCTTATTATATGTTTGGTTCCTCATGATAATCTTCACAAATGAATTTTGTAGCCTGAATACAATCGGCAGAGGTAAAAAGCTAAAAGTAAAGTTTATTTTAAAACATTTTCCTGAAAGTTTGAGTTAGAATAGCTTCAAGAGCGCGGTTATAAACACAAGAAGAAGTGTTAAAATCCAACTCATTTCTGGGTTTTGGATGACAAAAACACATCATCCCTGCAGCACTCTACTGTAAATGTATATTGTGATATAATCTTCACGAATATCACTGCTGCTTCCACAGCAGGTTTGTTTGCTCCTGTTTTCAGTTTTCACATGCATCCACCAGATGTGTTACACTTCTGACAAAGTGTGTAAAACCGTATTTAAAAGAAAAACCTGGCAGCTTGTGTGCACAGAACAACTTGTTTCAGAAACAACTCATATAACAGCTCAGTTCTCATATACAGCATGCGATCAGTCCTCAGTGCTCAAATACACACACAGCAGTCCAAATGACTATCGTGTAGAGTATCTCATGCAAATACAGTCTGAGCCGGACGGTGTTCAGTTCCACAGAGTAACACAGTTCGTCCAGATCCTCATTGCACTCTTTCTCTGACAGCACTTGTGTTTTTGACAAATAACAGCCTGGAGCCAAACTTACTGCTTCCAACAGACGCCCGCAAAATGCACGGGGAACTAGTTTGCAGTAATTGTTTTTTTTACACTATACCAGAAACTTTAGATATTATGACTATTTTCTACATATGTGAATATAGTAAAGTCATCAAAACAATTAAAAAATATATATATATATATTAGTTGGCATCATCCTGGTTCCCTTGACGAAAACCCAGTAGGGTTGCTCTATTGCCTTTTGGACCAACAAAAGTTTATGCTTATTATATGTTTGGTTCCTCATGATAATCTTCACAAATGAATTTTGTAGCCTGAATACAATCGGCAGAGGTAAAAAGCTAAAAGCAAAGTTTATTTTAAAACATTTTCCTGAAAGTTTGAGTTAGAATAGCTTCAAGTGTTAAAATCCAACTCATTTCTGGGTTTTGGATGACAAAAACACATCATCCCTGCAGCACTCTACTGTAAATGTATATTGTGATATAATCTTCACGAATATCACTGCTGCTTCCACAGCAGGTTTGTTTGCTCCTGTTTTCAGTTTTCACATGCATCCACCAGATGTGTTACACTTCTGACAAAGTGTGTAAAACCGTATTTAAAAGAAAAACCTGGCAGCTTGTGTGCACAGAACAACTTGTTTCAGAAACAACTCATATAACAGCTCAGTTCTCATATACAGCATGCGATCAGTCCTCAGTGCTCAAATACACACACAGCAGTCCAAATGACTATCGTGTAGAGTATCTCACGCAAATACAGTCGGGTATGGATTAAGTGAACGTAAACAGGTGGTTGAAAACTGAACGTGTGTCAGTATTACATGCATGCCTTCCGTCTTAAAGGGACAGCATTTCTAATTAAGTACCTATCCGTGTCATTAATGTTAGCCAGCAAAAGGTGTTAAATAAATATAAGTAAACCTATAGTATCTGAAAAATTTGTTTAATTTGTATCTCTTATCGTATCTTGTCTTATTCTGCTTCTTTTTCAAAAATTATATTATATATGAACAGCTATCATTTTTATAAGTTGCTCCCTTTTCACTACTGTTAATTGATAGTTCACCCAAAAATGAAAATTGTCATAATTTATTCAAGTTTTTCCAAATTCAATCCTTGATTCAAATTTCTCATAAGTGTTACGGTATGTGGTTGTAGTCAAGCAGACGACAATAGAGTTAATGTAAATAGTCTTAGACAGGAGAATTCCTTAGCAGCAACACACGTATTCATTTCAAAACATTAATCCAGGACGAAGAAAAGACAGAAAGTGAAGGCTTATAAATACAGGAAAACAAAGGAGCAAACGAGATGAATAATCAACACAGGTGAACATAATGAAGGTGATTAACTAATAGTGAGAACAGGAACCAAACCAAATAAGGACAAACAGGAACATACACGCGACAATAAGCTTAATTGATTTGGTCTATTTTTGTTTGAAGACTACATATAAAAATAACTATGTTGGTAACTGCAGTTTGACTAAAAAGTAATGACTAAAAGTTGACAAAAATGCAATAACTTTTCGTCGACTAAAACTATGAAAGACTCAAATTACTAAAATGTGACAGACTATTAAGCATTTTCGTCTCAAGATAAAGACTAAGACTAAATAAAAAATGCCTGTCAAAATGAAAATGCCTTTTCATTTTCTTGCTCCTCTTTAAATTGCGAACAGATTGTTGTTCTTGTCTGATCATGAAAATCAGATAATGATTTTTTTTTGGCATAAGTTAGTGTAACGTAGAGACGTGACAACGGGGTTGAGGATCCAAGTGCAGGCTTTATTTAGAGCGTAGTCGGACAGGCAGGGTCAAAACACCGGCAAAACTGTACATCCAGGGTAATCCAATAGAGTAATCCAAAGAACAGACAGTCAACAATCAAAAACCAGGTAAACAGTCCAAGAACAAAACACGAAGGCAAGGCAAGACAAGGCAGAAACTAGACAACATAGGCTAAACAATAATCAGCAATGTGTGTGTGGATGAGTGCAACCTTTATAGTGTCACTGATGGGAAATAGGTGTGGTGTGATAATGAGTTCCTAGGCAGGGGTTATGGGAAATGGAGTCCAGAGAAAACAAAGACGAGACCCCCTATCGTGACAGAGCCCCCCCCCCCCACTATGAGGGGCTTCCAGACGCTCCAAACAGAATTAAAAGACCAACTCTCAGTCCACGGTGGAGTTGATGGCGGGAGGAACCATGAAGGGTGTGAAACTGGAGGCATCAGGGGTCCGACTGACGAAGACGGAGCCGTTGGAAGGGGAGCCCAAGGTGAAGACGAAGAGCCGGGGAGACACTGAGGGATCGGAGGACCATGGTGGAGCCGACGGCTCTGCTAGGAGCTGGAGCGGCCGAGGACCAAGGCGGAGCCGGAGGGAGAGAGGAGCCCAATGGAGCCGGAGGGACGAGGCGAAGCCGGAGGAGGAGTGTAGTCCTGAGGCGAGGGCGGGTCGACGATTGACCATGGTGGAGCCGGAGGGACGAGGGAGCCTGGCGGAGCCAGTGGATTGACGGACCACAGTGGAGATGAGAGAGCTTTGAGCCAAGGCGACACCAAAGGGTCGACAGACCGAAGTGGAGTCCAGGTCTCGAAGGCCGGAGACAAAGATCTGGGATCCTCCAACTCTGGTGCAGCTGGAGGCTGACTGTCCCGAGGCGAATCCTGACCGCTAACCACCCTCGAAGGATGACCTGAGGGACAGACAGAAAACAGCGGAGACAGAACAAATAACATGACAGGCAGAGGAGGAGGGAGAGGGAGGCTGGGTGGGACCATTTTAGAAAACAACTCAGGGTTAGTTTCTGGGATAGGAAACACAGAGTTTGTGAACGGCCTCCTTGGCCATGACAGGACAGGCAAAGTGTTCACAGACGGCCTCCATAGCCGTGACAGGACAGGCAGAGAGCTGATAAATGGATACCACTGACACCTCTGGAGGTTCTGCAGCAGTAACATCAGGAAACAGAGAGAGTTCAGTAACGGTCTCTTCGATCGCAACACAACAGGTTGAGAGTGCATTGCTGAGCGCCACCACCACGAAAGGAGCTGAAGCGAGCGCCTCCTGAAGCGAGACGTGACAACATGGTTGATGATCTAAGTGCAGGCTTTATTTAGAGTGTAGTCGGACAGGCAGGGTCAAAACACCAGCAAAACTGTACATCCAGGGTAATCCAATAGAGTAATCCAAAGAACAGACAGTCAACGATCAAAAACCAGGTAAACAGTCCAAGAACAAAACACGAAGGCAAGACCAGGCAGAAACTAGACAACATAGGCTAAACAATAATCAGCAATGTGTGTGTGGATGAGTGCAACCTTTATAGTGTCACTGATGGGAAATAGGTGTGGTGTGATAACGAGTTACTAGGCAGGGGTTATGGGAAATGGAGTCCAGAGAATGACAGTATGCGAAGTTGATGAAAAATCAGACAAACATCCAAGGAAGTCAGCGAGGAACAGGTGTAAGTAACAGTGCTATTATATGGGATCCTATGTTGACTGCATGCAAACAAACCCAGAATGAAACATATGCAATGTATATGAAAGAAATAATGATACCATTAATATTTTATTCAACAAAGCATGCATTCAATTGATTAAAAGTGACAGTAAAGACATTTATAATGTTACAAAATATTTTTATTTCAACTAAATGCTGTTCTTTGAACTTTTTATTCATCAAAGAATCCTGAAAAATAAAATGTATCACAGTTTCCACAAAATTATGAAGCAGCACGACTGTTTTTCAACATTAATAATAATCAGAAATGTTTCTTGAGCAGCAAATCAGAATATTATACTGATTTCTGAAGATCATGTGACACTGAAGACTGGAGTAATGATGCTGAAAATACAGCTTTGATCACAGGAATGAATTACAGTTTACAATGTATTCACACAGAAAACAATTATATATTATATAATAATATTTCACAATTTGACTTTTTACTGTATTTTTGATTAAATAAATACAGCCTTGTTGAGCAAAAACG